GGAGTTGGTGGTTGTTCCGATACAAGCTTTTCTTGCATATGTTGGGACCAAACTTTCTTGATGAACTTTAGTAGGGGATAGGTTACAATGGCGAGCGATAAATCTACACTAACCCCTCAGTATTGCATAGTTGAAGTAGTCAAACCAAGTCACACAGAATACATAACTTACTACAGCAAGATCAATGCTGAAAGGAAAAACTTTTCAAACTTAAATGAGTCCTTGTTTCTCTCCACTGATAAATCCTGATTCAAGTGCATGTCAAATCATAAACTCATATTTGAAGCTATCAAAATAAAATTGTCCACAGCAATCCTGGGAGATACACAAATTTTACAGCACGCATAACTAGCAAAAGAGAACCACTGTGGAATCCCATTATATATTTATTTATTTATTTATTTTTGAACTTATTGTGTCTTCCTCAAAAATTAATCAGTACCAACTTTTCCTAGTCAAACAATCCACCAGTTGTCAAAAGGAAAACTTTATTCGAGTATAGACTACTTCAAAGAAGATAATTCTGGACATTTATTTTTTTTCCTTCTATTTTCTCATAGGTTGGCAGAGAAAAAGAAAGGAAAATTATCTGCCTAATTATAGAACCATAGGAAACTTATTTTCCTTCTAAGTTGTTAATCATTTGAGTTTATGAGGATTCAGCGAATATCTCAAAATTCTTGCGCAAAAAAGATCTACGGCGGCCGTACATCCAATTCATATAAAGCCATTCTTTACCTCTAAGCCTTATCGTCATCCCCTGCCAAAGAAAGTTCCCATGTATCTCCAACTACTAAATTTCAAGGCTTTAGAAAGTACAACACCTGGAATGCCGCTTATCCAACTTCTGAAGTGTTCAGACAACTGAATAGAACTCCAGATATATACACCAACCTTCAATCAAACTGTAGATGAAAGCCGTGTATCTTCTTAGTTCTAAAAAGTAGTGATTTCACCATATCTAGTTTCTTATTCACACACATTATACTTGCACATGACTGCATGAATGATCTTAAAACCATTGCATGAGACATTAGCATCAGATTCAGCCGCCATTGTTTGTATGCTTTCTTTGCAGTTGTGGAAGTTGGTATTTTTCGCATCTTTCCTTTCTTAAATCTTTCAAATAAGGATTGAAGTCCATTTTCACATCTAACTTTATTTCACTAGGTTATCTAAATCAGTTCAGCTCCAACATTTGCTTTTCCCAGGTCATTAAAGTCGTCTTTCCAAACACCAGCGTGGTTACCATCCTGGACTAAAAATCTTTAGATCTAATAGTCTAATAGACTAATACTATCACAAACATAAAAATCCAGAAGTAACAAAAGGATCTCCAATAGACAATACATTTTACATGTATAAATGGGAAAGAGGGAAAAGAAAATGCATTTGCTGAATAATGGTAAATAGCAGGGACTATCTAAAGAAAACCTCCAAGAACCATTTAGGAATTAAGATTATACTAATATATATCATGATATTAAAGTATGAGATCACATAGGCAAAGATTCAATTAAAGAGCAAGCCTTCCAAGTTTGACTACTCCTCAACATCCAATAATCCACATCACTCAAGCTGATAAGACTAAGTCCTCAAAATAAATGATAAAGGATGTATGGATAACCCTGGTCCCAATCCTGAATTAAATCTCAATTCCTGAAAAAAGGTGCAATCTTGATATTTCCCAGAGGGGCAATTACTGTAGCATTCTTTCTTCAGAGAACAAAGAGTCACGAAACTGTAAAACTTCAGAGCTAACAACTACCAAAAAACCTTAATTCTACAAAAAGGGGTAATTTTGAAATAAAGGAAGAGATGAAAAGAGAATAATTAATACCCCATGAGATTGACTTTAAGGTGGATGCTAAGCTGGATGAAGAGCTCATACATCTGCCCAACATCAGCGGCGTTACCGTGAGAGTAAAGCAAAGTGGAGGTGGCCATTGGGTAGCGAATGTAAAGGGCGACGATCTCCGTTCCCCGGCGAGTGGGAAGCTTCAAAACGTCGACGTTTTCACGGTGGGGAAAAGTGTCTAGCAGTAACAAGCCAGTAACTTGGTCGGTAATAATCTTGTAGGACGGTGGGCTCGGCGGGAAAAAAGCCAATTTCGCCGCCATAGACGACGTTACCCCACCCATTTTGTATCCTTCTTTATCAAAACACAAATTCTTAGCGGTGTGAATTTCAATTAGCTTATGTAAATGAGTAGAAGTTATTTATGAGTTTAGATGGATTCAGAGAAAAAGAAAAGAAGAAGAAGAGGACATTCCTTTCAGCAGCTTTGCCGTAGAAGATGGTAAAGTGTGTGTCTGTGTGAGAGAGAGAGAGAGAGGAGGGGACTGACTACTGAGGGGCCTTTTTTGCAGAGGGGAGTGGGAGTGGGAGTGGGGGGAGGGAAGAGAAGATAAAATTATACTACTCCATGAGAAAAGTGAAAGAGGTGAGCCCAGCTGTGATGTCTACTATTCATTACACTATGGCCACATGTGCATGCTTTACTTTATAGTAGTAGTACTACTCATTTTGAACTATAGTTTTTTCTAATTACTATTCCTAATTCCTAATTCCTAATTATAATACCTCAATTATCAGTGGAAAATAAGGGTAAATTAGTTTAGTGGCCCTTACAAATTTATATTTAGTTTTATGATCTTATTTTTTTTTATACATGAGAGATTTGATTTTATACATAAAAGATTTTTCTTTTACACATAAGATCTAAAATAAACATTTTGTTAAATTCAACATTGTAAAAAGTCACGGAGACCTAAAACCCCGGAAAAGAATATGCCAACCGGGAAGTGTTTTTTCTTAATGTTTGTTTATTACGTATTACTATATGTTAATACTCCTTTTTTGGTGCTTTTGGCATAAACTGAAAAATAAGAATCCTCCTTGTTTTTTTTTGTTTGTTTTTTTCTTTTACCAACTGAGCTGAGGCGGGAGAATCCTCGTTGTTGACTTAGAGTTAGAAATTAAAATGTAACGTTACTATCTCATTAAAGAGCTCTATTTTTGTCTATCCATTCATACGAAAAGTAATGCATGTCCTTGACATTATGTCAAAAACAAAGAAGAAATTAACTCAAATAATCGTTCATCCAACCACTTAAAGTAAAAATAGTCGGATATACATAATTTATGTATATGGTTAGAAAAAGGAAGATGATGAATATGACTTAGTATTTGTATAAAGATCTGTATTTTTCTCCAAACTATATAAAATGGATAAATCAAAAAATTAAAGCATATTGCAATTATTTTAAGTTTCCGAAGTTAATTATCTTTTATATAAAGGGACAATGTCACACTTGATCCAGTTTTTGAATTCTGGCAGAATGAATTGCAGTTATGTTGTTCTCAATTTTGGCTCCAAAGTTGCGATGGCGTTGGTGTAACTTTTCAAAGAGCAACTAAAAAGAAAAGATTAAAGGAAAAAGGTAATTACATGGAAACTGACTTTTCTTGTTGAATGAAGATACTCTTTTTATATATTTATTTAATTTGAATACACTCTTATCAAAGAGAAAGAAGAAGCAATATGGGAAGAAAAAAAAAGGAGAGATAGTTGACAGAAACTTTATTATAACTTCATTCATAGGATTCTTACAGTGGGTAAATAATGATGTTTGATGTTTAAACACACGTCTTCACTTTCAGCCTTGTTCTTTTTCTTGACTTGATTGCTTATAGTGGCTAATCGTGAAAAACATAGTGTTTAAAAGAAAATTTTGATTGACGAAGACGGAACACCGGACGTGGGGGAATTCGGTACACGTGTCGTCATATTGTCCAGTCGCTTCACTTTCGGCGGTTTATACATTACTCTTCCTGCAATTTGCACACCTCCTAAAAAAAATTTCTTTTGTCCTTTCCCTTGTTGTTGGGCAAGAAATTTGTTATTACAGTATCTATATGATATTGTTAATTTTAAAATGTTTTTAACATATTTGACATTATTTTATTTTTATAAAAATTTTATAAGTGAAAAGTATATGAACTATTCACACTTTTATTTTGATGTAATTTTGTTGTCTCTTTCCAACAAACAATTTTGATATTCTCTTCTATCAGCACTAAATCATCAATAAAAACAAATGAATGAAAATTTCAGAGGTATTTCCAAAGGAAATATAAGAAAATGCATCATTAGCTTCTTTCACGAGCAGAATGGGCACTCGATGCTAATCATATTTCAGTCCACATTTCCTTTTCGTCTCGCTTCGATCTCTTAATTTTACTTTGTACCAAACTTATCTACAAATATTTCTTTTTCTTATCTCTCTCTTCTTTTTCAATAGAAGAACTCGTTGCTTATTTGATCGTTGACAATTATTAAAATTCAAAGCACATTTTGCATTCTGACAAAAGTATCCTTTGATTCTGCAAGGTTTTGAGGATGCATGTAATCTCTACCCAATGCATTTAAGCTATGATTAAATTCTTATGCTTTTAAATTTAGACTTTACATTTTTAAACTTAGGATTATGATTATTGAATATTCTTTAATTTAGAGCATTCAAGCTTTGAAAACCGCCCGCAATTCCATAATTATCTTGTTTCCACTACAAATTTTCCCTCTTTATTAAAGAAAACATAAGAAATTATGTATTTGTTATGTGTTTGTCCTGATTTTATTATCATATTTGGTTTCTATGAAAGAGCAACATATTTATTATAATTGAGTTTTCCTTCTTGTAGAAGGAAATTATAAATCTTCCATATTTGGCTACTCCCTTTTCTTAGAGTAAAAAGCTTGGACTTCTGTAAATTGAGAAACATTTTTTCTCATTTAGGAGCATCCACAATGTAGCTTGTTTAGGGGGGAAAACTTTTCGGGACAAGTGTTAGTATGTCAATTGTGTTTGTTTCTTTGTGAGGTTGTACTCTCGATATTTTGTAATCTTTTTTATATAGTGGATTGCTCATCTCCACCGTGGACGTAGGTCAATGACCGAACAACGTTAAATGTTTGTGATTCTTTTGTTATATTGTTCTCTCGACGTAGGTCGTTGAGGGTTTGCATTTCTGACATCTGATTATTTTGATCCTAATAATATTTCGTAAGTTTAAATCATTGTCACAAGATTCATAACTTGGCCTTTTCTTCTTGTTTAGTTTATCCTTTAATTGCATAATATAGAGTGCATATTAATAATTCAAGATACAAGCACGTATTGCTTGTTCCACTCATAATTCTTGAACTTATTATGCTAGCAAGATTAACAATGTTGCAGATAATATGCATAACTTTCTTTTCTTCTTATCCAACTAAGTTATGATAAGCAAAGTTGTTCGCTCCCTATAGTTGTTAGAGATAATAAGTACTTGACGGAATAATCAATATGATCAATAACTTCATCGCACAGCTGATCAATAACTTCTTGAAACTTGTATGGAAAAAAAAGAACTAGTACAGTAGCAATTTTCTATCTAATATGGGGTTTTAAAATGTTAATCCTAGAGATCTACAGTAGAAGAATATTGGCGAGAAGCTAATATTAGTCAATTTTGTTGGGAGAATCAACGGTTAGGTGGGTTTCCAGCTAAGGAAGTGGGGATTGGCATTCTATGTACATATTTGTTGCTTGTGACTTTGCCAAGTTTGCATGTTAGAGATCCTAAATTCCTGATAAGTCTCTCTCTTTATCCTATGTCTTAATCAAATCACATCTACACTTTCCTTTGGTCCCCCCCCAAAGGCCTAAACTAAATTAGGACACAAATCTCAAGTTTCTCAACCCCACCCACATGAGTGAGACCATATATTATACACTTCCATGTACTAAAAAGAATGAATGTAGGAGGGAGAGAGTATGTTGGCCAAGTTTTGGACCCTTTCTTCGATGTTGATAAACTATTTCTACTACGTCTCACTCTTCACATGTCCCTTCTTTCTCTACTCAATTTGAAGAGTCTTTTTCAAAATTTTCGTTTCCTCTCTCCAATTTTAGCCACTACGCAACTTTTTTTTCTTTTCTTTTTCCTTTGTTATGAGATTTGGGGGTATACCTCAGAATAAATTTTTGCTTGCCGACTCAGACGTTATTTGTACCGAATATATTGTTGTACTGTAAACTTTTGCTTACCAATTCAGATTTTATTTGAGGGATCACACAGAGATATATTGTTGTTATTGTAAACTTTTGCTTACCGAAGCTTGACTTCGGTCCGATTAAAAGCAATCTATCCATCTTGAAAAATATACATAAACGAATTCACAAGAAAATTCATCAACGAGTAACTATGGAATTAGCTTTTTGTGATAATGCTTTGTGTTTAAGTGTATGAATTAAGTTGTAATAATTGATTAAAACGCATCTTATATCATGATAATTTAATAAGCCTATGAGACAAAAGATCAGCTGTGAAGTTCAAAATAAAGCAATATGAAATATATTAAATAAATTAGGCGTAAAGAGGAATTAGATGTGAGATAAAGATATGGGAAAACGAACCAAACCAACCCTTAATCACAAAATCCAATTCCGTCTTAATAAGCAAACCAAAGGCAGGAGAAAATTTAGTCACGCGTAATCCACAAAAAATCAAACGACCCTTTCATAAATCTATTTAACCTGATCATCCTTCTCACATCTCCAGTACCCTGTGATCCTGCAAAAAAAAATTAAAATTTAATATTCCTATTGAATCTATAATTATAACTATAGGGGTATATTCAATTCAATAATTCCATCATAATTTCCGGAGTCTTGTACAATTTATCCATTTCTTCAGTCCTGTTGATGAACAAAATAACATTAATGATTACATCCCCAACTTAAGGGCTAAGAAATTTATGTTGTTGGTAACTCCGGGTCAGTTCGGCCCAAAGCATACCAACGAGACCAGAGAATGTAAGTGTGTTTTTCTGCATATCAAGTGACGCAGAAGTACTGTCTGCTGTTTTAAACGGGTTTAGATTAAAAGATAGTGAAACATAGAGAAAGACTAATTTCTCTTCTTCTTCTTTTCTTATGAATAATGTTTTGGTAGTGAAGATCAATGAATGAGTTTACTGCTAAATTATAAACATTCTTTAAGCTAGCGTTTGACCATAGATTCCCAAATTTATTCTGAAAAATTTAATTTTGGTGAAGTTTAGTTTGAAGATAAAAATGTGTTTGGACATCTCTTTTGGGTGAAGTTTGGTATGGAAAAACATGAAACATGACTTATACACACAAGTTCTAAAAACTATTACAAATACCCAACAATACCATTATCAATAGTATTCATTATATTATCGCAAATCATAGTCCTGAATATAATAAATTTGATACAAAATTATCATTTTTATAATGAACTACATGATACACTATCAGATGACCGAGAATACGAAGTAACATCGTTACAAAATAATAAATGGTGGGTTCTTTTATAAAATATAAAAGTTTGGGTAATTTTTAAAAAATATAATAGTGATATTTTGGCCCAAAACCAGTTATTGAGCTGGTTTTGGGACTT